CCCTCAACCCAGGAATGTCTGCACTACGGAATTTTTTTGGAAAAATGACCCTTTTTCTGACAAAACTCGAGTTATGGTCCACACTCTAATCACGTTCTTTTGAAAGAAAATCAAAAGAACAGTGGGATTTTTCTGGCATTGGTAATCGTCATTCTGTGAGGAAGAAGCCTTTTTGCGAAAGAACTCTTTTGCAAAAAGCTGTGTGAGAACGGGGAAGAGGGAGTTCTTTCAGAAGAAGAGGAGGAAAGAGGAAAAAGCACAGGTGCCCTCATGGCCATTCCATCCACTGCAATCACAGCTTACATACGAGAGCATGTCCATTCAGCCTGGACGCTCTCTTTCAAAAAAGCAGATAGCTTTTTTTGATGCACTTCTGCAGTGTGGACACTCTCTTTTGGAAGAAATTTCTCCTTCTGAAAAAAGTCTGTAGTCTAGATGTATCCCAAGACAACTATTCTTAAAATAGATTCCTCTCTCCATGAAATACTATACCATATACAACCACATTAGCAAATAAGAGTTCTTTCAGCAGAAGAGGGAAGAGGAAAAAGAACAGGTGCCTGGTGGCCACTCTGTCCAGAGCAATCACAGCTCACAGGGAGAAAGCGTCCATTCAGTGTGGACACTCTCTTTCAGAAAAGCAGATTGCTTTTCGATGTGCTTTTGCAGTGTGGATGCTCTTTCGGAAGAAGTTTTTTCAGAAGATCTCTTCTGGAAAAGCTTCTTCTGAAGCCTGCAGTCTAGACATAGCCCCAATGTTCCCTCTGATCTTTACTATCCACATGTAGATTGTTCTGCTCATGTGGAATAATATTTGTGTGCGCATTGATACATGTGTGATTGTGCACCACCACTAGAAAGAAAAGCTCTAGCAGGGGGCGCTCTGCTAATCACATGAGCAGCATTGGAATCTCCCTGGAGAGACCACACAAGCCCACAGCTTATAGTGCGCACTGTTCACAACCCCACTCAGTCCTGATGCCCCCCCATCTCCCTTTGGCCCTTCAGCAGTGACCCATCCCCACCCCATCATCTGCCTCAACAGCTCCACTCAGCCCTCCCCCCGCAGCCTGTAGAGTCTTCACCTCCGTGGGCCCTGGGGCCCTTAACGCCGCTCAGGGACAGATCCTATGGAGGGGGGAGTGAGAGGCTGCAAGGAGCCCAGTGCCCCACTCCCAGTTTCCCTCCCCACTCCCCCACCAGCTCAGGGGCCAGGCCAACTCACAGCCCAGGAGTTTCCTGGAGGCCACACCTGGATCCAGGCTAGCTGGGCCACTGGCCACCCAATGCCTAGTGCTCAGCCCTTCCCTCTGGCTGGGATCCGTGTCCCATGGGAGCAGGGGTTTCCCCACTGACCAGAGGCTAAAGGGATTATTTTGGTTTCTCTCCCCAGGTCCTTTCACCCTGAACGAGGCTGGAAACACCCGGAACTCACCATGTCTGAGGTTGGCAAAAAAGTCCAACACGACCCCCAGAACCTGCAGGTCTGAATCGCCCCTTGCTGGACCCTCCTGTGGCAAAGAGAATCGTGTGAGAACACCCCCCAAAACCTGATTCCTGAGGGATCTTTGGACCTGACCGGGGCCAAGAAGTACAACAGGGGAATTGGATCCAAATACTGACACCTGGGAAGAGCCTCGTCCCACGGGGAAAGTGGGAAAATGGTGACATGCCAGCAGTTTCCCCCGCAGAAGGCGAAGGAAAACAGCAGTGATTGGTTATAATGCTTTGCCTCGCCCCTTCCTATTTCACAATGTGCTAACTGGAGAGAACTGCATCTAGGTGACTGTTCAGTGAAGGAAATTCCACTCACACCGGTCGGGGATGCAGAGGGGAAGGGTCTTGCAGTGACACTGACACTCTCCCGTTGCAGACGGACACAAATTGCCCCTGCCAGCCTCAGGCGGTGCGAGTGGGCTGCAGGATCAGGCCCCCTGTGTGTCATCCACTCCACAGCTCCCTTGGGAGCAGGGACGTTACTTGAAGCTTCTCGGAACAAGGACGTGGGGAAGTTCAGACGCTGTTGGAAATTGTAGCGGGCAGTGGGGTCCAGGAGGGGATCAGTGTTGCCAGGTCTCATGGCGTTTGCTGTTCCCTTAAAGCCCCAGCTTCTGGACTCCTGGGATTGGGGGGAG